CCTCACGACTTGGGCCTGTTCCTCCTTTGTCTTGCTATCGGCGCGCTGGTCGATCTGAAGCAGCAGGGATACAATTCGGAGGGGGAACACTTCTGCCAGCTCGCGCAGGCGGCCATGGCTCTCCAGCCGGTATTGGCGAACCCCTCCCTCACCACCATCCAGGCTCTCCATCTACATAGTATCTACGTCGCCATGGTGGGCAACGAGCCCGGAGGCGCGGACCACCATATGGAGTTCTCTTGGGCTTTGCTAACGCTCGCCGGTCAACTGGCTCACACGGTACGTGGTTACGCCTAATGTCCGCTGACGTATCCTCTGACCGGCGGAAAACCCCCGAACAGATTGGGCTGCGTAAGTTCACACTTCTATCCATCTATTCGGAACGCAATCTGACAATATCACAAAGATCGAGACGGCGCGCGATTTGGCTTCTCGCCAGAGATCCTTGAGCGGCGGCGGCTTACGTTCTGGGACCTCTTCGTTGGTGACGCATGGCAGGTCTGTCCTTTTTACGATTTTGTGTCTTATGTGTACTGATGCGTCTCAGAGCATGATGACGGGGCGCCCACCTGTGATCCAACGCGAGTACATTGACTGCAAGTTCCCTACCCCAGCGTTGTCGCCGGATAGCGAGGAGGGTGACGACGAACAGGACGCTCATTGTAAGTCGCCGGGAAGTCGTTTCATTGACAATACCGTTCACTCATGCCGATGCTGTAGTCGAGACATGGGGTTTCCGGTTCGCATTGCAGTGCGTTTCCGAGGTGACCTCAAAAGCTCTCGCTGCCGAAACCCCCTCGTACGAGACGATCTTGGAGCTCGACCGCAAAGTCCGAGAGTTCCCTATCCCTCCTGACGCTACCGCTATGCAAGAGGGTTTGGAGATTGCACCAGATGAGGAAGCCCCGCCAATACAAGAAAGCATGATCCGCTTCGTCCTTGCGCACTCGCGGGAAGTCAGTGAGTGACGCTTCCATCCTTTGCTTCTATCACGGTCGCTCAATCACCACCCCAGTTCTCTTGTACTTGCACCGCTGCTTCTTTGCTCAGGCTATCACCGATTGTCCGAGGAATCCGCTGCGCAGCCCATACGCGCACTCATTCCTGACCGCTTACCGGTCCTCGACGACAATTCTCAGGGTTATCCGAGAGCAGTTCAAGCTGTACCCAGCCATGTGCGCGCGGTTCTGGGTCATTTGGACGTTCGCGTTCTCGGCAGCGGTGAGTACATGTGCCCCGTTGTTAACGCCGCTCGGATCTAACCCGTTTGCAGGTCGTGTTTGCCACGATTGTCACCCGCGGCCCGCGCTCATCCATGGCAGAACAAGCACTGGTCCAAATGGATCAGGCATATGAACTGTTCCAGCAGGCGTCGAGGTACAATCGGAGGGCTGCAAAAGCTTTGGTGGGTCGAGTTACTGGGAATCATCCCGTTCCTGGCGATCATTGCTAACGTTCTGGCGCACTTTAGCCGATTCTTCTCAAGCTCCGGGAGAAGGCCCACAATGCCTTCGGAAACGCTCAGAACGATTCTTCTGGCACCTATGATGGTTCGCTCTGGAGCAGCCAGGAAGACGACGAGCTCGACATCTTCGCCGGGCGTACCTCAGTCATCGCGTCAAAGCGCCCTTCGCCTTCCCCCACCCAGATGCCTCAACCAATCCCCCGTCATCACACAGTGTCGATGCACTTATCGGAGCCGGGGGACGCACCGCCGATTATCACCCCTCCTACGACGCTACCTATCGCTCCTATCGCCGGAAGTAACGGTTCTATTCAGTTGCGGGAGGCGTGGCCAGCCCAAGTCCAGACCCAGGCTGCTGTTGTCCACTCTCAGTCTGCCTCCCAGTATCCGTCTATACAGGGACAGTCCTCTCAGCCCCCATCGCATCAGCCGCACACGTACCGCCTCAGCTACTCGCATTCGCAGCCCGCACCCAGCTCGCACTCACACCAGCACCCTCATCAGCACCCGCACCCCCACGTACACCACTCGCTCTCGCTCTCGCCGGCCGAGTACCAGTGGGTACCGCAACACCAGCATGCCCCCGCGGAACCCGCGCAGGGGTACGCCACCGCTGCCCCCGGGCCCCACGTCTCGTCCGCGTACGGTACGCAATATCAGCCTCAGCAGCAGCAAGAGCTCTTGCAGCGCTATGCGGATACGACGCCATATCCGCACGGGCAACAGCAGGGTGCGGGTGCACCGCAAGAGTATGTTCCGCCGTCGGAGTTGGTCGGGCTGGGGCTCGCATCGAGGCATGGAAGGTTGGACGAGCGGTGGACGTCGTTCATGCACGAGAGCGGGTTTTTGTAAGCCTCCCGCCTCGGTGTCTGAATGCTACGGTATGATGTGCCCATCCTGGTCCCGCGCCCTCCTGCCTTCCTCCGTCCCTTCTCCCCATCTCCGCCAGGTCGATACGTGGCAGTGTCCACCTCTACAGCACGTACTATCTGGAACCCCTGGATCCATCTCCCTCATCTTGATTCTTGGCCCGCACATCGCGCAGCTCGCTCTCACCTGCCCTCAACCCGCACTATCCTTATATACTGCACATCTCCGCTCCTCTGTACTTTAATTCCCCTCCTTGCGACCCCCTGCCGCGACGCCACTCCCCTCACCCCCTCACACGCTCGACGCGCCGACCCTCGTGTTGTCGTCGCCGCTCGCTGTTTGCTTAGAAAAGTGCCCAGCCTATCGTCTCGACTATCTTCGGACTTTGCTTAGTTGTCCAACCCCTCGCGCTGCCCCGCTAGTAACCGCTTCCTCACCGCTCCGCAGTCCTCCCCGAACCCCTCCTCTCGTATCGTCGCCCGTCGTCGCTTTGTATCACCCTTACCGCACCCACAATCCTCGTTCTCTATGCAACTCCACCATCTATCTCTCTCGGGTGAATCTGATAATGTTCTTGTCTGTTGGCGTAGCACGCCCCGTTTGTTGTTGGCTTCGCTCTGGGATCCTGGCTTTGCTCGTTCCGTCTGTGATAATTGCTAGAGCGACGTGTACATATGTATCGTACGTACGAGTATAAGACAGTTGTGCGAGGCCCCTGCTAGTGTTGGCCAAACGGCTGTCCATCGCCGACGATGCACTGGTGGAAGTCCATACGGTGCCTCGGCCCGGGCATCGCTGCCCCGGCTCCCAGTCTGTCGCCGCGATGCCCACACTGCGGGCAGGTGCCCTATTTCCCACGACGCGATAGTCATGTTGTAGCGTTGGTATAGGTTTCCTTTGTCTCCAATGGACACATAACTATTGCACGACGCGACAGTTAGACTTTTGTCTGCCTTGCGCATCGCTGCCCCACCACCGGATAGTCTGCCTTGCACATGACTATACTATCACGACCCCAGTGTTCGGACAGACCCTAGTGTTCGGACAAACGCGAATTCCGCTCCGGTACCTCCACCGATAATCATGAAATTTTATATTTAGCTAGGATAGCTTCTCACACATCTGTGTTCGAAGTTTTGCGTCCCCCCAGACCAAGCTGCGTCCGATCTCAAGGATGCACTCGCCTCACCGGGAGAAGTCCCACCTTTGATGGGTCTCGGCTGAAACACCTATCCCAGCGCTCCCCTTAGAATTTTGGGAATGTAATTCTTGCGTACTTTAAAACCTTTTGCCAAATTCTCCGAGAGGATGCGCCCTCGTGGGCGTCGACAGTACAGAATCGAGCTCTTAAGGCGTGACAGTAATCCAGCGCTTGTGCGTCACGTCTCAGCGCCCTACTCGATTTGGCTCGGCAACGGCTCTCTTACGGCGGGTTCTGACATCGGCTACAGCTGAGCGCCGTGACCGCGTCTGTGACGACGTGCGGAGAATTGTCCGAACACTAGGGTCCGTTCACTCTTTCAACGACTATACACGCATATCTCCTCCAATCGCCCCCAAAGTTTTCAGAAGTACGGAGAGAAGCAATGTAAATGTGTCTATCGAATTTGAAGATTATCGGTGCAGGGGGGCGACGAGGACGCATTGAACTACCTCGGTTGGCGCTTGCCTGTCCGAACACTGGGGTCGTGATAGTACCCTGACTATACCATGACTGTCGCCCCACGTGACAGGTAGGCTGTCACGTCGCGCGCGAGGTAGACTGCCACTTTACTATACTTAGACTATCGCCCCGCGCGCGAGGTTGTCTGCCGCTTCGTTATACCCCTACTATTGCCCCGCACGCGAGGTAGACTTCCGCTTCGCTATATGTCGACTATCCCTGCACGCGGAGCGGCTATCCTCAGGCCCACTGGCGCTTACGATCGACTGCAGGCCACCGTCTGCGCGCGGTTGAATTTCAGTCACTCCTCCTCCCCTTAACACGCTTCCTCATCCTCCTTCTCCCACACATGGTCGCACTATCACAGCGATTCCCCCATCCTGCCGCTCCCGGCGGAGCCCGCGATATTTGGTGTTCACCAACGACGCGCGCAATGCGCACTCGCGTACCGCTCCGCAGTCATCGAAGGTGAGCACGTCCAGGACGTCCCGTGCCACATGCTCGTCATCAGACGGCTTTGACCCCACACCTGGCGCGGGACAGCGGCGAAGGCGGAGCGTCCCACTCAGGAAACTGTGTTGCATGCAGTGAATTACGACCTCCCTTGAGGATAGCCGTTCCGCGTGCAGGGATAGTCGACATATAGCGAAGCGGAAGTCTACCTCGCGTGCGGGGCAATAGTAGGGGTATAACGAAGCGGCAGACAACCTCGCGCGCGGGGCGATAGTCTAAGTATAGTAAAGTGGCAGGCTACCTCGCGCGCGACGTGACAGCCTACCTGTCACGTGGGGCGACAGTCATGGTATAGTCAGGGTATAGTCATGTGCAAGGCAGACTATCCGGTGGTGGGGCAGCGATGCGCAAGGCAGACAAAAGTCTAACTGTCGCGTCGTGCAATAGTCATGTGTCCATTGAAGACAAAGGAAACCTATACCAACGCTACAACATGACTATCGCGTCGTGGGAAATAGGGCACCTGCCCGCAGTGCCAGGCACCGCGACATGTCAAACCTGTGGTTCGCGCTGGGTGGGAGCTTGGTGTCGTACCAGTGGGTCTGCGAGAGTGGACCGACTTCCGTAGGGCTCAAGCCGGGTTTGATGTGCTCGGGTCTGCTCGGGTAGCTCGGCACACAAGCAAATTCAAACCCAGCTTCTTGTGCGGGCGCGCCCACCTGAGACATCGCACAAGTTGTGAGCCGACCAGAGCCGACGCGAGCCGACGCGTAGAGACGAGCCGTCAGGGCACGCGTTGATGGCTGTCGGAGCGCCCATCGCGCCCGTCGCGCGCGACCCCTGCGCGACCTGCAGCTGGCATCGCGCGTGCCCGCACGACGCGTCGTCCACTCGCGCACCACCGTCCTCGCGCGCGCACTGCGATGAGCACGCGCTCATCCACGCCGACTGCGGCGCCCGCTTCGTCGCGCACTGAAGCGCCAAAGAACTTACGAGCGGTATGCAGTGCGTTGGGCATACATACGCGCTGGAGCTTGATGACACAGGGAACCCGTCAACGTCCGTACGTTCGCGCTCTCGACGGGGGAGCACGGAGCCCAACCACGCAGCGCGCGCCCCGATATGGGAAGACAAGACTTCATTCAAGTTCACGCTCGCTGACCTGAGTCCTCTTTTCTTTCGGCGCGCAGGGCAGCATCCACATGGTGCACGGGCTCGACGTCGCGCGCGCGCGGTGCTCCCGTGCATCTGGACCGCGGCGCAGGCCAGACGCGGCTCCTCGCGGACACGCACGTCTACGACTGGTGGGACTGGGCGGTGGAATGGGCCTCTGCGACGCAGCAGGGGTGGGCGCAGGAGCTCATGGATGAGGCCGCGCTGCGTGCGCTGCCGCGGCCATCGGAGATGCTCGCGGGGGCGATGGACAACGTTGAGCTCGTCGTCGACAAGAGCATGTCGGATGCGATCTCGTGTTCGCAGCGTCTTCCCCGGGCTTCAGCCCTGTGCGGATTCAAGACACGGCGCCGCTCGTCGTCGTCCTCAAAATGGCGTTACGCTTCGCGCTGCACTTCGCCGGCGGCCGTGCTCGTCCGCCCCACCACCGCGCGCTTCAAGTTTCTTGGAGACAACGCGCCCCGATTGCGAGCCCGAGCGGACTCGATCGCGAAGTCTAAAACTGAGCCCATGCGCCCGAGCTGGCACTGGGCGGTCGAGCGCGTCCACACTGTCGACGTGCCTGTCGGCGCGACTGGCGTCGTAGCAGGCGGCCACGTCCCTTGTCCTCCTCCAGTGGAGCAAACATTCTGGCAGCACCGCGCGCGACGTAGTCGGCATGGACGAGCGCGTGCTCGTCGCGTCGTGCGGGCATGCGCGATGACGAGCGAGCTGCACGGCGCGGGTGCGACGGGCGCTCCGACAGGGTCCAACGCTTGCCCTGACGGCTCGTCTCTACGCGTCGGCTCGCGTCGGCTCTGGTCGGCTCACGACTTGTGCGATGTCTCAGGTGGGCGCGCCCGCACAAGAAGCTGGGTTTGAATTTGCTTGTGTGCCGAGCTACCCGAGCAGACCCGAGCACATCAAACCCGGCTTGACACGCCGGGAATATCAAAGTTTCTGCTCGTCCGATATGTATGAGTAAACCTTACGAGAAATGTAGTGTTTTTGGCAACGTTCTGAGACCTTCAGAATGATACATTTCGCGTGCATTGAAACTTTATGTACCTCGACCTATTCCCGAGTCCTCAAAATGAAACATTTCTGCGCCTGCGGAATGATTTCTCACACATAGAGTTCTGGCGGCCCGGGAACTCAAAGTTTCCCGATGTGCGAAATCATCTGCCAAATTTGACGTTTTTCTCATCATTTTGTCGGCCTCGCAACGATATATTTGGCATGGCGTTCCGGCAGTCCTGAAATGTTATGTTTTGGACCTGCGCGCCCGCTCATCGCCCGCTCATCGCCCACTGGTCGCCCGCGCGTCGCCCGCTCGTCGCCTGCAGGCTGTCCACCTCCCTTATTTCCTTGCGCCCTGCTTATTGCGCGCAACGATGAGCGAGGTGATGAGCGGGCGACGCGCGGGCGACCAGTGGGCGATGAGCGGGCGATGAGCGGGCGCGCAGGTCCAAAACATAACATTTCAGGACTGCCGGAACGCCATGCCAAATATATCGTTGCGAGGCCGACAAAATGATGAGAAAAACGTCAAATTTGGCAGATGATTTCGCACATCGGGAAACTTTGAGTTCCCGGGCCGCCAGAACTCTATGTGTGAGAAATCATTCCGCAGGCGCAGAAATGTTTCATTTTGAGGACTCGGGAATAGGTCGAGGTACATAAAGTTTCAATGCACGCGAAATGTATCATTCTGAAGGTCTCAGAACGTTGCCAAAAACACTACATTTCTCGTAAGGTTTACTCATACATATCGGACGAGCAGAAACTTTGATATTCCCGGCGTGTGAGCCCTACGGAAGTCGGTCCAGTGCGCGATCGACAAGACAGGATAGCGATTGGCGCGCCTATATTCACTGCGGATTCATGTCCCGGTCCGCGCGCTGGGAAGGCGATCACGCTACAGGCCACGACCCTGACTTTGACGGTACCCCGCATACTGCGCTCGAGTCATGGACTCATGGTGCGGCCCGGGACGTTCTGCCAGGGCGAGCACAGACGAGCACGGACTCCGAGCAGCATCGGAGCGGCGTAGGGCAGAGATGTCGATAGGGCCCGGGAATTGGACCGTGGGTTCTGGGCTCCGGCGAACTCGGGGGAACCGCTGTGGGATCGGTCCCGAGTCCCGACTTGACGGGCGTATGGGGGCGCCGCGGAACCGCGGGCGCGTTGTGTGCAATTGCAAGTCGCCGCCGGGGTTCGCGCGGGGGCAAGGTGGGGCCGGTGGGGAATCGCACGTCCTGGAGGGAGAGGGACAAGTACTACTGCGTCCGAAAGAGTGACCCACAGTCACGACCGCACGATAGGGGATCGACGCTGCTTGCCACGCGCGCGCCGATCCGCTGGCTATGGGGCGCGGTGCGGCCAGGGAAGTTGGAGCGAGCGTCAAGAGGCCTTCGGTCGGGATCGGTGTTTACGTACGGGAGAGTCCTGCGTTTTCCGTCGTGCGGATTTGGCTGTGGGTGCGGGAGGGTGCAGTGAGGTGCAGTGGCGATTCAACAGGCTCGCTTGGCCCTTGGTCCTGGGGTCTTGACCAGGGACGTTGGAGGGTGGGCCGGCGGCGGTGTTGTGGGATTGATGGTGATTCCCATGGGGCGGGAGAAGAGGGGCTTGAACTTGGACGGCGCTGAGGGCCTGACAGTGGGCTCGCCGCACTTAGACCGAGAAGGTTGAACACAATTACATGGTCACCGCGACGGAGATTAGCATGTGCATTGAGAGGCTGGAGTGGCCCCAATCGAGCTTGACATTCATGGATATCGGTGCTATGCGCCCAAAGGGCCGGAGGAAACCAACGACTGGGGAGGTGGACGTTCTTAGGGCATAACCTTTCCAAGAGCTGTTAACGTTCAACAGCAGTGGGGCTTGAATGTTCAACGTTGAATCAGCGCTCAGTGAGCGATGAGTCACAGGAGGGGCGCCACGGAAAGCCACGACTGCGAGCAGAGTGGTGAGCAAGCGGTGGCAAGCGGCGGGCTGCGTCAGCGACCGACCGGCGGCTCGGAGTCGTAGTCGACCGCCGTAGAGCCGCCCACGCGTTTGCCCGGAGCCCCACGTCCGAACCGATGGGCCGTCTCCAGCCCGAGAGCCGCGCGCGCGATCGCGCGCGCTCGGCTTGCCTCGTACTTCCTCATACTTACAACGCTCGCCCCTCCTCCCCTCCCCTCTCCACCTTCCCCCGCCACTGTCTCTGCATGCCCTCCGCGCCCCCGCGCGCGCCCATTTGAACCACCATGCCCTCCGAGCCCCGCCGGAACTCGCGC